GCATCAATTAATCTCGATTTCGAACTTATATTAAATTATCAACGTAATTTTTATCGAAAATGGGTACATCTGTCAAATTGAAAACTCTACTTGATGCTTGCTCGGTAGACGGATACATTCAAACGTTTTTAGTATATCAGCTTCAGATAAGCTGACGTTTATTAAACTTAACAATAAGTATAGTGAAACTTCTCTAAAGTAACTCTTAACCAGACGTCAAAATTCGATCGAAACAATTAGCTTTTTCAACTTAGAAGTTTTCGACCGAAAGCTTCGAACAGCTCTTTGATACTTGTGCCCGATACTATAACAATTCTACACGAATATCTAATACTTTCTATTACAATTATTACGAATGCTTTATTTCGGATGGTTCAGCATATACTTTATATGTTAATAACAAGTATATAAATCAATCGACAAAATCGACCAGCCATCTCCGATGGCGTGAACAGATGGACTTTGAACATCGATCACATCATCGATTGACCCTCAAGCCACTTCACCGAAACGTATCGGACGATCATTTCAGCGCCCGTATCATATAATGCTGCATGAGTTTTTGAGAAGCTATAGCGTTATGAGCAAATAACCTCGGCCCTACCCACGCTACCTGCGCTAGTCACGCCTTGCTACCGTCAGTCAGCGAGTGGAAATTAGGCGTTTTCGTAAGACGTACGAAAAATGTGCGGGCTCTCATCCCCAAGCACTAGCTTTCCCTAAGCTGGTACCATCTTTTGATTGTGCAGCTTGCATGCATATATTGCTATCCTGAAATATTGCCCTGAGTGGTCTGAGCTACTCGAATGAAATACCAACGTCTGATTTTCTACCGCCTTGACTCGCTTCGGGTCCATAACCACTACAACGTATGCCGTAAGCGGATGTATCAGTTCCTCGTGTAGACCTCCACTAGCTAACTATCTAGATAACCAAGAAGCTCAAGCTGGGGACAGAATACGATATGGTTCCCCGTGTAGCCCGCTGTAGCAAATAAGGCCACTAGTGACGCTCATTAGACTTCAAATCGCTGTTTTATTCAGATATTGTCAAAATGCGGACTCTAAGCTATTATCTAAAATTGCGTCTACCAGAGAGCAATTTAATATAGTTTAGCTTACTTTGTGTCTCTGCAGGACCAGATACGCGCCTGTCGATGCAATCTCATCGGCCCCTTGTAACCTTGAGACGCCGCGTATGCGGCCAGACAAATCCCTTGGCCAATGAAGGGACATTCATGGTAGTAATTCAATGATAGAGGAATTTTCAGACATCCGCCTCTTGTTTGTGGAAACTCAAACAGTTGAAATCCGATAAAACAAGATCTGGGCTATAAGCCAGACGTTAAATTCTCCTGGTCCCTAAGCCTCGATAGAATGAAATGTTGCCACACAACGGCTTCGCGCTGTCTTTTTTGAAAAAACTATTCATTTTTTCCCTTACATGTATTTATGTTGTTAGTTTGACGAGCTAAGTCGAAACTGAATCTCTCTGCCTTTATTATTTGCTCGCGTTTTCGAAATTTGTAGTAAAGCTTTACGCTGCAGATGTCACCTAGTCTTTTGAGATCTCTATTAAGGCTGCTTTATTATTAACTGTGCTTTTTTTTTACATAGAACATTGCTGTGAAAAGCCTTTTTTATTTCTGGTACATGCTTAAAAAAACACATTTTTTCTTAAATTCTAAGAGCGATGAGAGGCGTATGGCGAACGATGCCAATGGCAGTTTCACTAAGCTCTTGTGGTGCCCACTTTATTATCTTTAATTAATTACCTCGTACATGCAAGCAAGTTCTGCCACTAACCTTTATCTGTGCAAGGAGCTGTTGAGTTGAGCAGGCCAAACTATTTTTACGTAACAGAGGATCCAGATCATAGCCACTGGCTCCTTGCAATCGTCTGAAACGGGGTTTATTCTTCAAATGGAAAGGTCCAGCACAAAAAAGCTGAAACTAACCTTAACCAACGCTATAATATACCCACATTGCCTTTTAGCAAGTCGTCTGTATATTTTCCGTTTTCCTTTTTGTCTGTTTTTTAGCAAGAAAATCAAAAAGACAACGTAGAGTATATAGCTTTTCAAAAAACAGCTTCAGGTGACCTTCACCGAAGTGTAAACCGTGCGATGAACACAGAACCATTCAAAAAAGTACTGCTCTGCATTTGTCAATGATTAATCGAGGCATCCGCGTAAAGCTTCCAAACATCTTTTTCTCACTAAAAGACGTATTTCAACAGAGAGAAAAAGACTTCCTTGAGGAGAAATAAGGCTAAGTAAGTGGAACACGTATTGCCTGCTAATCTTAGGGACACCTTATAGTCTTGGCTCGAACCCAGACTTCGTTTTGTGCTGAAAGCCAACCAGCCAGCCAGCCGTCTGTCTGATAGAATTATGCCTACCGGCGATACTGAACTAAAAAACAGAGATGTGAAATACATACAGAGCTTGCATAATAACGACAAAAAAATACACACCTCAAGGTTTCTATAGTAGCGAGCAAAAGGATTCCAAACCCCTATAACTTGCAAAAGAATCAGCTAAAAGAAGGAAACTGCCAAATTTCGAACCAAAGAATTAAGTGCAGAAGTGCACAAATGGGAAAAGTCAAAAGCTGCCAAAAAACTTACGTTCTTTACGACCAGCAAAGACATGATTATTTCCTATTAAACCGCAACCCAATTGTGTTAGCATCTTTCAGTTTTTAAAGTTCAATTTTTTGTTTAATCACGTGAATTCATGGATCACTTCACGTGATTGAATAAAAAAAATATATTTTGTAATAATTTCGTAACAGTCTTCGTAGTTTTCTCTGTAACTTTCGTCTGTAACCTTGATGCTTACCTTTTGGAACGCATTATTTTTCGTTTAAATCATCACAGAATTCACCATGTTGTATCAGAAGTAAGGGTTTTAACGATAGAGTGAAAATACTGATAAATAGAATAGATTTCGTGATATTGTTGAACTCCAAGGCCATGGATATAGCCGCAGACGCAGGAATTGTCCATTCTAACTGCCAGGTTTCGCTGGTGCTAACTGATGAAGGGGAACATTTATAATACGAACCTTGTAAGCTATTTGGTTACTTTCGGAATACAAATTATTAGTTTTTTTTTTGTTTTTTTTATTTATTCTACACACATATAGGCCCGTCGGACGCTTTTCGTATGGCCCCATAAATGGTATGCGATTGGATCATCGATGAAACGCTACTGTTGAGTGCTCATATATTTAACACGACCCGCTATGCTTCGTTTGTGTGTACGTGAATAACACGAGTATAATAAATTATAATAATGATCCTCATATGCAAATAGGAAATATATGAATCATATAAGTGAGTGAGTGAGTGACCATTTTCTTCTTTCTTCGGCGTAAGCTTAAACATCTAACTAGATTTAGGTCATCGTTTCACTCAAGTCGAAGAAGGGCTATTATGCAACGAAGGTGATAAAACTGTTTCTATACTTTTATCGGAATACTCACATAAAACACGGCCGGCCAGCTTTATGCTGCGACATAATTATTTTACATTGCTGATAATAATCCGTCACAGTTGTTAGGATCATTAACGCGCTAGCATTGCTAAGCACTTCGCTGATGATGGACGTCGATTTTGACAACTTCATAGGTACGCTCTACATAAGAAGCGATTGAAACACTCAGTGGATTTACGACGGATCAAATCGGTAAGTTTTGTTCTACAATAGGCCAGCAGTGCACGAATCTCGTTGGCGGTCGACTACCGACAGTTGCCTGTCGAAATTTCGAACCTCTTCGATGGCTTTTTGGCGAGACAAACGAGTCCGCCATTGGACGGATAGGCTGAACATTACCATGGTGCAGGGCCTGGTCATAAACGGTCCATGATTGTAGAGACGATCGCTTGCTAACTCACGTAAAATAGCCCACAGTGATAAGCTTATAGGAGTATACGCAGAAAACGGGGAGACGGTCATAGCGACATCATAGTACGCCTCATTGCGAAAATTGCTCGTTCTGCTCTGTCTGCTCGGACTGTCTATACAACCGTCAAAACGATGTAAAATCTTACAGTAAGCTGAGAAATTCATTACGTTAGCTAACCGGAAAACGAGGAAGGTGTTTTGATACCTTCCTAGTTCTCCGATTTTATTTATTTGGCGCCCGAAAAATTAGGTCACGACCGATGGGTGAAGTATAGGTATCATATCGGCACCCATTTAGAAGTCCATAACTTTTCATTAGTCTGGTTTTGTTCAAAGGAAAAAATAAACGTGTAAACGAGCCAGTTTGGAAGCAGGCTACCATTCTAGTAGGCCGAAGGCGAAATGAATATTGCTAGATATAATAAACATTAGAAAAATGCGTGAATAATCTGTTAATTCCCAGTTAATCGCCAGATGACAGGAATCGCGTTCGCAAATTTTAATTGACTTAGCCTGTTGCATGTAACTAAGCTTAGGAGGTAACTTTCGCGTTAGGCATCTAGAACCGGAAACACTTCAGTTTATCTAGGCTCAAAATCAGGCATCGGCACACCTCATTTCGTACTGGAAGGTCTAGTCTAATTTAAACCAATGCTTAACCGATTCAGCACCAAACACCAAATCCAAAATGTTTAATAATTGACGCTGGTCTACAACCCCATAAAATATTAGGACAATCGCTTGTCTTTCGCAGCAACACGCCTTACCCCAGACATTAAACCAGCTCGTTTTTACTTCTCTATAACCCTGCGTAAACCATTCCTACACTGTATCAAGTAGGTTTTGTTATATCGGTACGATGTGTTCAATGGCAACAAAGGATTGCCGTGTACAAATGCGAGTTGTTCAACTATGATGATTCAAATTATTCAATAAACAAGCATATAAATATAGAGTTATCGATATCAGTGCCCGGACAAAAAAAATGCATCTAAGGGCTTCAAGAAACTAGTATTAGATAGAATATATGTAACTTACTCAATAAAGTTTAAGTGGGGCAGGTTCTATCTGTCTGTCTTAGTGTAACTAACCTGAAGCGAAAGTTGACACTCCTTCAAAGATTTCCATGGTAATAAATCCAAGCGTACCCACTCCACCAAGATGTCCACCAACAAGAAGTATATGTATCCAGGTGGCGCAAGCGCAAATACCCCAGCCCCATCCGCCCTCCGGATAATAATTTTGAGCCATTGTTTCAACCACCTCTTCATGCATGGCCACATTATTGGCATGTTGATTTTCCTCTGGTCTATCCGTACCTTCCCGAGTCCACACCTGCCCATTTAGACCGACCACGACTGACATCGAACGCTGCTCTCGGCGGGGCCGCCGGGGCCTCTGATCAAAACTGCGTGCTCGAGCGCGTCGTATCGATGAAAGGTGCTCCTCTTCGTCGCCAGAACTAAGCAAGGAATTAGTCCTAGTCAATGTGTCTACAACACTCTTGGATCTTTTGTACCGTCCGATAGGCTCTTGTGGTGTGGTACCCTGAAACACCGTCGAATCTGTTGAGGTCGATGGAGTAGCGGTTTGGTGCGTATTGTCCCCACCGGTGTACTTCGCACCGTAGTTCGAAGGTGCATTAGGGTCCGGTGTAGACGTGGACGACAAAAAGCTTCGTTCCGTTGTCTGGCTTCCGGCACTACAGGCACTCGAGTGCCGACACAATTCATCTTTTTCGGCCATTTTCGTTGTTTTCTTTCGTCTGCTTTATGAGCCCAGAGGTGAAATTCACAAATGCAAGGCTAACACATTCATGTTTTCCCAGGGTGACACGACACCGTAGAGTCACGAATCGAATAGCATAATTTTTATTGTACACCAATCATATAAGAACGGGCCAATAGTAGCTGGGCTTTCAAGTGTGCTGACACAAGGCGTTCTTTCTTTTCCACGTAATAGCTCCAAAACAAGCTGGGGCCCACATACGTAATATTATTTAAATACGAATCTCTGTAGCACAAGGCGCGAACACAATATAATTAACTGTACATTCGTATAATCCTTGGATATGTTGGCTCCGTCGAGCAAATTACGTCATTCATCTTTCGTTACGTTTGGCGCGAAAATATGTTCACCTTTGACTAGTAGCAAGTTTTAACAAAAAACAAATTCACATATACCCTATGTATGTCATTCTATGACCCGGGTTCCTGCTAGCAACTTTAAAAGTAAGCAGGCAGCGAACATCTGGGACAACTTTTCAGCAAATAATACGTGCCCAACTATAGCGTTTCACGCCTCTAGGTTGTCGTGCTCGACCGCTGCTTTCAGTAGTAAATATCACACACACTTGGTGTTTTCCGAACGAAGTATTCATTCAGGAGTTGTAGAACAAACACGCTTGCGGCTCGGGCCCCCCGCGTCGAGCGCTGCTGGGTCTTGGGCTCCGCCTTCCAGCGGACGGCCCCTCACTACAGGCGGGCCTTCCGCGTAAATCGTTCAGGCAGACACGGCTAGACAGTAGCGGCGGCACCAGCGCTTATAGTCATATAGTGTGCAGTCACTAACAGCATTAGAAGCGCCCGTGGCAGTGCTAGCTGCAACTGCAGCAGGCTACTGGTTCCGAGTGGCTCCTACTTCACATTCGCATACTATGACCGCTGGCCATAGGGAAGACGACCGTCAGCCGTGCGAAGGGCTCAAAGCGACACCAACCGTCATGGACGCGGTTCATGCTGAAAGCGGCCGCAACATGCACGAATACTGCCGCGAGTCGGTGAGGTACAACACCAATTTTAGGCATGATCTATTCAACGTAAATGGACGGATCCGGCAATAGCAGCGACAGAATTCTTGCCATCGGCAGTAATAGGGTCACTGGTCAGCAGTACGTTAAATCGACAACAGTAAGATCAGAGCCTACAACAACTACAACAAAAGCTGGATCTATTTAATCCTTCTCGATCGACGCTCGAGGATCTGTCTAAGAAGGCAGTGGCATCAGACGCACGTCCGCTGCGCACCATAGAGCTTATGGCTGCAACTCTCTATGATGCTAGCATACCTCCCCTGGCAGATGGGGGGCACCATAAGCTGTGTGATTAGTTGGGTTAACCGCCTGACTAGAACAAAAGCAGCGTAACACAAAAACAGAACGGCAAGTTTGTAGGAGTTGTATGATTTTTGCAAAGACCTGCGCTAGTAAGAAAAAAACCGGCGTTCGTGATTGGTGTGGCATGCGCAGTAATCCAGTAAAAGCGAGTGACCAACATCAAGCACTGTATTTGTTATGTCTGTGATGAAAATAGATCAATGAGGGAGAATTCAAGTGAAGTTCATATAAAAGTGGGCGCTAGTGCTTTACGATGACAGCTCCCGTAGTAATAGGTTCTTCATTGCTTTAAGGCGACTGGCAGATAGGACTTTTATGCGTTGATACGTGTAGCATTTGTATGAAAATATGTTTTGGGCACGCTTTTTTTGATCGCTCTTATTAGTTGTTTGTTTGTCTTCCAAGATCGCTTCGCGGCCCCTTCATGCAGGGTACAACTGTCGATTGCAAGCATGATTCTGTATAGTGTAGACTTGAATAAGGTAAAGCTTAGCGCTATAGGTAGCTCGCACAAAATACCTAACAGAAAAGTCATCGAGGACAAGTGTATTCATTCCTATGGATGGTTCTGATGTTAGGAAATGCTTTCAGTGGCAGGGAACGCTTGTAATTGTCATACTCATGTAGATATCGGTACAACCCTTACGCGTAACCCACATGATTCTCCAGTGTGAAAAAGTTATAAAGAAATTACATATAAATAAAGTGACAAAATCGGCAATGCAGTAAGCATAGCATTTATCTCGGATTAGGCCATAAAACGAGAAGTCATCCAGGACCAAATTTCATCCATTTTGGGAGACTGCCTATAAATAACTGGCCATAATAGTTATATTTACGTAGACGTAATGTTTGGACTCTTCGATTTTGTCAGTCGTATTTGAAAAGACATGCTGGACATTTATTATACATAAACGTTTAAAAAAAAATTGTCACACATTTTCAGCTGAAATAGTTAAGCGCTAGTGTTGTCGAGTCCACTTTAGACATCCTGTGCCGTACCGGTGGTTAACGAACGGTACGTTAAATTAGCAACTCTTTATTAAAAGCGATCATTGGTCGAGCATGGTTATACGAGGCGTTTTGGCGGTAAGAAAAAGTTTGCACGAGCTGAGTATCTACAGTGTTTAGCTAAATGAACGCCATTTTGGGGGTAAGAGATAGCATTTAAAAGGTCCGATTTGTTTCGCATAGGATGATTCATTAAGCTAGAGTGAATTGCATTCGTCTTGCGACAAAGACCGGTCATAAAGCCAGTTAGTATAGTTACATTTAAGCTATAGTTATGTTAACAGGCACAGTTATCCTATTTGGAGCTGAAAGCGTCCACGGGAAAAAAGCCGCATCGTCCGGACATGGTGAGAATTTTGTGCGCTAGGTCTTACGTACTAGATATTCACTATGTCAACTTGGTACGATCCTCGCAAGCTTGTGAAACCACTGCCGAGACGGTGCTTGATACAGAAAGCATAGAACCAAAATCAGACTCAGATTAATGTGTTTGCCCTTTCCTTTTTTTCCAGTGCAAACGATTGTAATACGTCTATTACTTTGTGATGATGACGATGCCAACTTCAAAGACGCCAGACAAATGATCAGGTGCTTCGGCAGCCTCGGCTAGGTGTGGCTGAGCGTCTAGAAAGGTCTAGACTGCCGTTTACGTGTTCCAAAATCTAGCAGAATGTGTAGAATTAGTATGCGAAAGTGAAAGAACTTCCTATTCTTCCTTTTAAACATACGTATTAAAGTAAAGTAACACTCGTAGTAAAGCATGTGTTAAAACTTCATCGAAAATCGTTAACAAATGCGACCAGTTCGAACGTAGAATTTAGATTCTGTTTGTCGGGTAGGGAAGTTACTTCTGCTACGAGCGATGAGCCCAATACCACAAGTTAGAATACACATTTTGTATTAATAACAGCGCTTAGCTAAAGTTTTCATTAATTTAATTATATAGGTACAGTATCTGTTGAACTCACAGCTGTTTTGCCTAATTCACCAGGCTCGACGAGTAAAAAATCTCAGGATAAGTGATATTTACAGTTTACAGATAGGGAAAGATGCGTTCTATCGCGTTGCTTTTATAGCGTTCTCTATAGTAATAATATGCCTTTGATAAACAAGCTGTAGGTGCAACAACGAGTTTCGAGCTGAAGCGAAACAATTTAAAAACAACACATAAACAACAATAAAAACTATACATTCACTATCAAAAGTCACGTAGTTTTTTTTCTTTGGAAATTGCAAATCTCAAATATGACGATCTGTCAAAAGCATTTTCGAGGAAAACCACGCAAATCCAATAATAAAAAAGAGCGGTACAGATATAGGACTATAGGAGCTTCTCACGGCGTCTAGAAGCACAATTGTTACGGCCTGTTCATATAGAAATTGTGCATAATTTGTGTGGCAAGTAATGTTCACTCCGGGCTTCGATCATACGTAGAACTTAGTAAACCAGTTATCCATTCGGAAGTCGTAGGAATGAGCTCGAACGTCTGATGGTGGTGGTGCGGTTAATCGAGATCTCGATCTATATATACCTTTAAAATGCAAATGTAATTAAGGCTTTAGTAGCACTTAATTATTACTTTTCTTTTTTTCGTGAAAAAGGTGTCCTTTTGTGGATGAAAAATCATCTGAAAACACAATTAAGCGATTAAAAGTGGACTACACCGCGTTGAAGTCTCAGTTGAGTACTTGTTCGCTGACCTATTGGACCACACGAATTTTCCCACTCGCTGCTTGCCATTGCCGAGCAAAAACTAGTTTTAAACACATATATGAATAGTCAATAACCTGGTTATTACTTGAGCATTTATGTCCGAGTGCTTAGTGGGTTTGCAAAAATTCGAAGCGGTCGGTTTATGATAAGCACACAGCGCACCACTGGGTTCCAAGGCAATAACATGTCTCTACAACATGTGTGTAACTTATATCGCAAAAACAAGAGAGGTCAATTGAAACAAGTCAAATGAGGAACACATTTAACAAAATCTACCTATTGTAGCTTGCTTATTTTTGCGGGCGAGCGATTTGAGGATCCCTTGTGTTACTATGAGAATTAGTTCGTGTGGTATATTTTTATAATAATTCTATTTATTAATTGTTCGCGATTCCATCTGCTAGTATTGGCGCCCTCTTCGCGGAGTTTGACAGGGCCGTCCTGTGTCTAGTGCCGATCAATATGACGATATAAACAGTTACTCCGTGATAGCTCGAAGGTTTAACCCTATAAGGCACACTTAGACGTGTGTTTCAACGACATATTTGAGAGTACCCGGAAGTCTGCTCCGTGAACGACACGGCATTACTAGCCTGACAAAGGTGGCGAAATAGATACAGCTGTCAAGCATACTTCACTTAATGTTAATTTCCTAGGCCATGCTTTCATAATTAAAAAAAAAAACTTGACACATCTTTCAGCGTTGTGTTCAACAATAAAAAAAAAATTAATGGAATATTGCTTTGCGAAAAAGTGAAAAATAAAAAACGAAGTTTTATTTCTTTTCAAATATGTCCCAAAAGCTATTTGTTATTTTTTTAAAACTCGAATAAATTCGAGGGCATCGAAGTAAAGCAAGAGTATTATTATAAGCTGTTCGCAATGCACCTGTAAGCCCTTTCAGCCGAAGGATAGACAGGAATCTTTCACAAGTAACGTTATATTTATAGACCTGTCTACATCTGCGAACAAGGGGAAACATGTACACATATATGTATATTGTCTGTATATAACTCCAGTCTTCATAGGGTAACAAAGCAGCATATCAAAAAAAGTACTATTGTCATTGTTGTGTTTCAATTTCGTAGTCAAAGGCCGGTAAAAAGGCCAAAACACAGTAGGGAAAGATGACGTGTATTGTCGCTGTTTAACAGTGGAAACAGCGGTTGAGTGGTTAGCGAGGAAGACTGACTTTGAATGGCAACCGCAGGCTGGATACAACGTCCAATCAGACGGAAGGGATTCGTTCT